ACACACACACACACACACACACACACACACACAAAAAGAGTCAAAATACATCAGCACCCATCAACCAGTGTCTCGTCCTCTACCGCAGCATCATCATCAACCCCTCCGGCGTCATCGTCGTCATCATCACATGAGGGTTGCGGTGGAGCCTCGTGCTCGCTCTCAGACCCGTCACTGCTGGCGTGCTCATCGGTGCCGTCATCATCCTCAACATGAACACGCGTCCTCTTCCCCACAACAGCACGGGATCGAGTCCTCACTCCGTCTGCGGATATGGGTGATGGCGAACCTCCACCGATGGCACCCAATGAACCCAACAGCCTCTCCGTCGCTCCAGCGACACCCACCCTCCCTCTACCTCTGCCTGATCGACCCCCTGGGGGGCGCCCGCGCGGTCTACCTCGCCCTGGTGGTCTCTGTGCTCGTGAATGCTCTACCGCACATGTATCARCGATCTTCCTCTTCTTCCCTCTCGTCGCGGTGTTGTCAACAATGACAGATGACACTCGGGCGGGCAGTGGAGGAAGCGCARATAAATCAACCGATCCCCTCCGCAAAGGCTGTGAATGATCGTGAGCAAGTCGAGGCATCGATGAATCACCACTGCCATCGTGTGAACGTGCGGCTACACTGGTCGTGGATGATGATAATCGTCCAACTGTAGTCGCCTCCTCTCGAGAAGATGAATGCAAGGGGATAGTCAATYCGGGTCCCCGCACCACAACAGAATGCTTTAAGACGGGCAGCGGAGGAGCAGTATAGAATGACGTGGGTCGAAGTGTGGCGGAAGACGTCGCAGCGGCAAGGCTCCCTCCAATCATTGTCGTCGACGATCTCTGTGCCTCTATGCTCTCAAATGTGTGAGGGGGCTCTACGGATGCGGGAGCCACGTGCTGAACTGTAGGAGGGGGCTATACTGAAGTCTGCACCTCTCTCTCTGTCTTTGCCTCACTGCCCAGCTGGGCCATAACATCTCGCCCCGCTGTAGATTGTGGATGTGGGGCAGTCGTGTCTGTACCTGTCTCCATGTCGCACGACTGATCGGGCTCACATCCTCTCACGCCCTCCCCGATAACAGGGGCCACCTCCGAGATGGAGGGTGCAGGGGAGGCATGCTCGGTGTGACCTATCCCCATCTCCTCCTGACTGAGACACGGCTGTCCATGGCTCATGGCTGCTGCCTCCTGCTCCTCCATGTCGGGAGTTGCCTCCATGGCAGCTGCCTCCTGCTCCTCCACATCGGGACATAGGTCCTCCCTGCCACGAGATGCCTCCAGCTCCCCAACATCAGGACGCTGCTCCTTTGCTACACTCCCTGGGATAGGTCCCTCTGAAGGCCGTCCGCCTGCCCCATCATCAACAGGCATACCAAACAACGGAGTGGTAGGGGGGGTCACTGACATCTGAGGCGTGTGTGTCGCCCCTACGTCAGTGGTAGCTGCACTGCAGCCCACCTCGCCGTCAAAGGCAGTCGAATGAAAGCCTGTGTCCACATGATGACCCTCATCAACCCGTCCGCTCCCCCCCTCCGGCCTGCGACACTCCTCACTGTCCTTCATGATATGAAGGGTGTGTCTGAAGCCATGCAGGAACCCGTCGAGGTCCTCCACAGCATCAAGGCCCCCCCACCTATCCCACACACGAGACACGAGTGGGTCATCGTGCACCTTCTCCTTCCCCTTCCCCGCGGCTGCAATCTCCTCAATCATGTCCTTCCCCGCCCACACGTCATCCGCGTYGTAAATGGCATCCTCAGCCTCCACATCGTCATCATCTCGCGCCTGCAAYAGGCGCGCACTGGCACGATCACCCCCCTCCTTGCGCCGGCTGCGCAAGTCTGCCTCCACCTCCTCAGGGATCATCATGCCCTCGGCGTACACCTCCTCTGAAGGATCGCCAACCACTGGCTTCGGCGGCTCCTCCACCAAATCCTCCCAAACATCCACATACCCCTTCCAGGAAGTCGACCTCGCCTGCAGAAGCTGCATGTTCCAATGAATGAACACGAGCTTCCGCAGACTATCACTCGAGAGTCTGTTGCGCCTCTTCGTGTGAGTGAAGTCATGTGTGGCCCAATTCCTCTCACATGGAGAGGCAGTGGACCACATAGAGAGCAACTTGATGGCGACTTCCTGCAGCCGCGGGAAGTCGCCACCATGCAAATACCACCACCACGCAGGGTGCACCCCGTGCTTCGCCTGCGCGATAGAAACGGGGTTTGTCCACCATTTGGGCCTGGGGTCTGCGTGGGGATCATCATGGTGGAACAAGTACAAGCCGTACCACATCGTAGTATGCTCCTCGGACCCCTCTCCACCATCCGCGTACGTAGCCAAATGGTGCAGTGCACTCTGCACCAATGCGCTGTCAGTGTCAGCGMGGAGACTCACATCACGCCGTCGCGGGTCAACAAGGTATGCGAGCGCATGTGCCGGCTGGCGCATCATGCCGCAACGGTAGTCAACCCTCTCCATAATCTYTGCCTCGTCTGCCTCTGGTAGGCCCATGTCGCGCACAGGCGCTGCGATACTGTCAACAAACGTCCAAAGGGTGGGGGGGGAGGAACCGTCTCTATCCATGGAACGCAACAGGCTATAAGCTGGCCTCATGACCTCCTGCACGCGGTGCGCACAATCCCAAAATGACGCCGACAACACAAGCTGTCGAACAGGGCGCTCATCCTGCCCCGCCTTCCCCCTCCAGAGGGTGCTCCGCCATCTCACACTGCCCACAACCATCCGCAATACCCTCTTCTGATCGGTAAGTCGCTCCACCATCTGATATGCTGACCCGAACCGTGTGTCACATGGCCAGATCAGCTCCAGTTGCCCCTGCTCCTTGAAGGACCGATGATACGAGAGGGCCTTGTGAAGAACATCACAACCTTGTGTGTGTTCTTCAAGATCGGTCGCACCCACGAGAAACGCGTGATGTCGCGCAGGAGAAGACTCAAGCAATAAGCTGCACAGGGGAGCCAAGGGATCTGGGATATGTCTCTGTCCGAGTGGTCTTGCAACCGCTGTGCAACCACCTTGTTTGCATAAGCGTTGTTAGTGCAATAAGAATTCACATGCTTAATGTTAATATCGTGGATGACCTCCTCCCACAACTCTGCCAGTGCCACTCCAATCTTGTCCCTCTCCGACATGTCAACGGTACTGATCAACACGGGCCCGTCCTCGCCTGCTGCGATGAAGTTGACGATAGGCTTGTACGACCTTGTTGTTGCCCCGTCCGTCATCATCGTGCACCCTGTCAACTTCTACTTTGCCTTCTTCGAAGCGACCCTCCCTGCTATCTCATGATAAATCTCGTCGAGGAGGCGGGTGCGCATGTCAGTGTATGAGGGGAGGACCAAAGCAGGCCCAATCGTGACCCTTATCAATGATACCATGAAGTCATGCAGCTCTTGCGTAGTCTCGAGCTATATGAATGTGAATGGCACCCCAACCCTGTACAAGGCTCTGGCCCACAACCTCTCATACTGCTGCTGCAGGCCTCCCTTTGCCCAACTATCCAACCTTGTCTGCAGCGTGCGACGATCGTGGGGCACAACAACACCTGACGGTGCACGTGTGCCCTCTGTCCTGAGCCATGACAAGTCGGCTTTTCGCCTTGAAGGCTGTCGTGCGGTGTTTTGCACCTGAGTCGACCCCTGCTCCGCCTCAAGGACGCGGACCCTCTCTCTAAGGATAGACAGCTCGTCGTCCACTGGCCTACCATCGACCGCTCCCTCATCCATCCTAACAGTCTGCGGCCCTTGGGCAGCTAACTGCCGTCCACGGCCACGAACTCGGTCGTCATGCATCGGCATACATGTCACTGTGGCAGCTGCCTCCTCGGCCCTCTGCAGGTCCTCCATCTCCAACTCCTCCTCATGGACCTCGAGATGCCTGGCTGCCATTGTTCTCCCTACATGGTCAGTGATGGTGACCCCGTCCCTCATCAACTTTTACACGATCTCTCCCGTACGGAATCTACAATGCGCAGACGGGCGGGTGAAGTGGTCAATCGCCTTTGTCCGCGCACCGGGGAAAACATTGTTGCACAACGTGCAACGTAGCTTGTATTGGCCCTTCCCCCGCACTCCCACCTCCTGCCCTTGACGCACCCATTCCCACACAGCATGCTTGCTTTGCAACAAGCGTTGTCAAGCCTCATCAGCCTCCTCAAAGGGCGCATCGTCGTTCGGGAGCTGGGTGAATCTCCCTTGTGAGCCACGCTGTGACATCCCTCTCTCTCTCTCTCTCTCTCTCTCTCTCTCTCTCTCTCTCTCTCTCTCTCTCTCTCTCTCTCTCTCACACACACACACACACACACACA